AGACTTACCGAAGGCGAGAGGCGTTTCTCTTGGGACTCAGATTCTGACGAGGCATTCTGAAAATTGAAGAAGGCCCTGACTAGTGCGCGCATACTTAGCTACCCTCTTGGCAACGGAAACTTTATATTGGATACCGACGCTAGCAATGTTGCGTTAGGCGCTGTTCTGTCTCAGATCCAGGATGGTCAAGAAAAAGTCATTGGTTATTTTAGTAAGACCTTGTCAAAACCGGAAAGGAACTACTGTGTAACCAGACGAAAATTACTAGCAATAGTTAAAGCAGTGGAACACTTCTACAAGTATCTCTATGGAAGAAAGTTCTTGTTAAGAACAGACCATGCTGCTTTGAAATGGCTGTTGCAGTTTAAGAATCCTGAAGGGCAGGTAGCTAGATGGATTGAACGATTACAAGAATTTGACTTCGACACAGAACATCGAGCTGGGGCAATCCATCGGAATGCCGACGCACTTTCCAGAAGACCTTGCGCTAAGGACTGTAAGCATTGTTCCCGAGCAGAAGAGAAAGAAGTGAAACTCCTAAGAACAACTGTGGTTAATGATAGTTGGCAACCCGAAGATCTTGCAAATGACCAAACCAGTGACCCAGAATTAGGTTTAGTAATTAACTGGAAAAACACAGGCCAAAGACCAACGTGAGAAGAAGTTTGCAGATATTCGCCGAACGTAAAGTCGTACTGGGCCCAGTGGAATTCCTTGGTAATAGATAACGGACTACTTCGCCGTGTGATCGAGAGACCGGAGGGACAAGAAGAGAGAAGGCAGATCGTCATTCCAAAGAAGAGGGTCCCAGAAGTCTTGGAGGAAGTTCACAATGGAACCAGCGGAGGGCATCTTGTGTTACCAAGACACTTGGCAAGCTGCGTGAACGGTTCTACTGGGTGAACTGCAAAGAAGATGTGAGGGCCTGGTGTAAGAAATGTGACATTTGCGCAGCCATTAATGGGCCACAAAAGCGTGGTAAAGCCCCTATGCGCCAGTACAATGTTGGTAGTCCCTTCGAACGAATAGCGATCGACGTGGCTGGTCCTTTCCCGGAGACGAACGATGGCAACAAATACATTGTGGTAGTAATGGATTACTTCAGCAAATGGGTCGAGGCCTACGCGTTGCCAAATCAAGAAGCGTCCACGATTGCTGATGCCCTTGTTAAAGAATGGATCTGCAGGTTTGGTGTTCCCATGGAGCTTCATTCAGATCAGGGAAGAAACTTTGAGTCCAATCTGTTCCAAGGCGTCTGTGAAGTCCTGAACATCCGCAAGACCAGGACGACTGCTCTACATCCACAATCCGATGGGATGGTTGAACGCATGAACAGAACTATCAACCGTTATCTGGCCAAAGTAGTCTCTGACCACCAAAGAGACTGGGACAAATTTCTTCACCTGTTCCTGTTGGCCTACCGTTCATCCGTCCAAGAATCTACAGGGCAAACTCCAGCCAGCATCGTTATGGGACGGGAAGTGCGCCTACCCTGTGATCTGAAATTTGGTTGCCGACCGGGAGAAGAAGTCGCCGGAGAAGATTATGTCCACACACTACGTCAAAGGATGGACGACATTCATCAGAGAGTCCGCCTAAATATTCAAAGTGCTAGTGACCGAATGAAGGAACACTACGACATTCAAGCTGAGCATGGAGGATACCAACCAGGGAAGTTGGTGTGGCTATATAACCCGCAGAGACGTCGTGGGTTATCTCCGAAGCTACAATCCTCGTGGGAAGGGCCATACGAAGTCATGGATAGAATTAATGACGTCGTATACCGTATCAGAAAATTGCCAAAAGGAAAACCGAGGGTAGTCCATTTCAACCGTTTGAGCCCCTACCAAGGCGAAATAGAAGATCGTGCTGGGACCGTGAGAACCTGCAGCTTTGATCCCCCTGATTCGGAGATGTCCTTTGACGATTTCATGGCCCGATACAACAGCAGTGAGAAGGCTCGCTATGGTGTAACCAAAGAAGATCAACGAGACCTCTTTTCCGTGCCTCCTGATTATTCGCTCGCTCATTGTGTGGCTCGAGATTTGCGGATGTCCAGAGGAATCGCTGCGACGTTCAATGAGAAGTTTGGGCGTGTCGGAGAACTACGCCGACAGGATCCAGAGGTTGGAAGCGTCTTGAGGCTAACCGACAATGCACATGGTCAAGCAAGGCACATCTTCTACCTGGTCACCAAGGAATGGTCCCCGAGTAAGCCGACTTATCTCAATCTATGGAAGACCCTGATTGAACTGAGAGAAGCCCTGCTAAACAACAACATTGCACGATTAGCCATTCCGAAGCTGGCGTGTGGACTCGATGGTTTGAGTTGGCGTACAATCCGGAACATGATTGAAGTCTTGTTCAGATTTACGGGAATCGAGATCCTCGTTTGCTGCTACAACCCAAAGCTGAGATCGGGAGAGAAAACTGTAGACTGCTATTTCTACCAGACTTCGCAATGTACCAGGGGCCAGCTTTGCAAATACCTTCATTCACCGTATACATCTCGACTCGACCTAACCTCACAATATGGCCCGCCCTCGGATGACCTTAACATCGCATAGACACCGCAATGATTCATTCGTTCGAGAAGAATCGAGTCCCACTGGAATGGACTAGTACATACGAGAACATTCGAAAACCTTCTCTACGCACCTAACGATCTATGGACAATTCTAGAGTTCTTTACCTGTCGGTATAAAAGCCGGCGGCGGTGGCTTACAGGGGGCAGTTATAAATATACCAGTGCAGTTGACGCGCTAAAATTCAAAATAAATTCTTAGTTATAGATCGTTTGCAAATAGTTCTATAAGTCTTTTATCGTTATTGTTTTTACTAATTAGTGTTAAATAAATAGTGTTTAAATAAATTGTGACTTTCTATCCACACGGAACCGACGAAAAACGTAACAGTAAAATAGTTTATTTTGATGAAAAAATAAAATATTTTTTACGGTCTTAAAAAAATGTGTCTCACTGTTGGGCATTCTCCCCTATATTATTTGCAATGTTTGAAATTGATTAAAAATGATTTGTAATGTTTAAAAAAAATAGTATGTATGTTCTATTAGGACTAAAATTGTACTTTTTGTGCTTCCTTGTAACGTCGGAATAGCTTTACGATGGTCCTTCAAAGGTACAGCATCATCAAAAAAAGTATAATTTTTACTCCTAATAAAACAATATATTATTTATTGTTCGGAAATACTCTTCAGTCCAGAGTAAAATTAGTATTAGTCAAAGTGTAAAATACTTACTGCAGATCAAAATGTCGGTAAGAATTTGGAAAAAACACAACCATTTCAAATAAAAATATAAAACAACATATTTCCTGACAACGATTATTATTATAGATTCTCGGGAATGAAGATATAGTCTCTATATCAGAAGAATCTAGTTCTGCACTAGACTGCGAATGATATGTATTCGAACAGCGAATTTTTGCCACTTATACATAAATTTTAAAATAAATCCCTGCGTTTAGCGGTCTAATGGATTCACACGAAATTACTTCAAAAATCGGTCCAACATTTAAATTGATGAATAGATATTTTTTATATAGTTTTATAACATTTGTAATCGTAAATTTTCGATTTATTATCTGTTATATCTTTTATAGAAATATTTTTTATAGTTTTCTAGGACACATTTTTATAACTTTTACAGTTATTTTTGATTTATAATAAAGTTTTAATAATTTTTTTTGATTTAAATCAGTGATTAAAATTAAAAAAATTACTTGATTTAAATCACGATTTAAATCATGATTTAAATCATTTGATTTAAATCATGCCAACCCTGCCTATAACTCTTGTTTATATATTCTTACTATAACATAGGATACAACATTTTAATGAACAGTGCTTTCCATAAAATCAATAAAATGAAAAATATACGAAATAATATACATGTACTGATTTCTTTCGAAAATCGACAACTATGAAACTGTAATCCCTTCCCGGACATAAACGGTACATTGTGAGACAGGAAATTGTAGAGAGAAACAAACCCTATAACATAGTATACAACCTTTAATGAACAGTGCTTTCCATAAAATCAATAAAATGAAAAATATACGAAATAATATTCATGTACTGATTTCTTTCGAAAATCGACAACTATGAAACTATGAACCCTTCCCGGACACAAACGGTACATTATGAGACAGGAAATTGTAGAGAGAAACAAGCCCTATAACATAGAGTACAACATTTTAATGAACAGTGCTTTCCATAAAATCAATAAAATGAAAAATATACGAAATAATATTCATGTACTGATTTCTTTCGAAAATCGACAACTATGAAACTATGAACCCTTCCCCGACACAAACGGTACATTGTGAAACAGGAAATTGTAGAGAGAAACAAGCCCTATAACATAGGATACGACATTTTAATGAAAGTGCTTTCCATAAAATCAATAAAATGAAAAATATACGAAATAATACATGTACTGATTTCTTTCGAAAAATATAAAATAACACGCGACCGGTGCTATCCCTAGTCTCTTCCTATATTTGTTCAACTGTATCCATTTTCAGGAAAAACGGTTTACCAATGTTTCATGGAGGGGGGGCATGCTTCTCATTCATGCAATAATAATATCAACATCCATATAAACACTTTTACCTAGTTATTTTACTTAACACATATAGTTCATACCAAATAAACTTCTAATCACGTGATTAAGCTTGACCGTAATACAAAACTAAAGTGTCAAAACGAATGACAGTATCAGGAAATAAATAAATAAATATGGCAACTTGACATTTTTTACAGCAGAGCTACCACCTGAATCCCCAGCGCGAAATTTAAATTCCAGTTAGTCAGCCAAGCGTCGAAATATGTCCACGGTTGGCAACAATGAATTTAAAAATCGCGCCCTCGATTACGCAACTAAAAGTTTAATTGGTATCTTTTGTAAGTTTGTTTATCGAATTCATTTTGATAAACAAAAATTATTATTTATTTTTGGATAATTGATAATTTTACTTACAAGCATCCTGTGAGTTGAACAAAATACGTAACCCAGTAATATTTGTTGGCGTCAAAGGGAAACCAAGTGTGCATAATAAAATGGTGTTCCTTCACGCCTGTGACATTGTTATATCCAAAGGGAATAACGATATTGTTGATCAGGGGAATTAAAAAGAATCCCACTATTCCTACTGTTCCAATGGTTACGTAGACATACACGATCTTGTTAGTGTAGTTCGTATTTTTCTTGTACATGTTGATAATATTCTGGTTGCGTGTTGAGAACATCTCTTTCTCCTTAGTGGCGATGAAGATAATAAGGTCTTTGAATGTTTCTGATTTGAATATTAGAACCTGTAATATATTTTTTAAGTAGTATACGGGTCGATTTATGAAGAAGAATGTAGAATGAGATAAAGATCTATTGTGCTCCCCTTCCTTGAATTATAACTTATCATACAGTCTACAGGGTGTCCCAGGCTGAGCGTGCATACGTTTTTAGAGAACCACAATATCTAGATCGGAGATTTTTTGCACATCACTGTTTTCCAACGAGAACTATCGATTAAAAATATTTTCAATATGGCGGCACTTCCGGGAATACCGGAAGTTGACAGCAACTTTCTGATTTTAAATGGGTGCCCCCATTTTTTATTAAATTCTCTGGAAAATTCTACGAATATTTTACACTCTATACCTAACATTAACCATTTTTGAGAAAAAAAAATATTTAAAATTTTTGGACGAAAAAAACTACTTGTCAAAAAAAATTTATAGCCTAAAAGTCAAATTTAGTGATTACCACAGAATAACTACAGAACGATCAGTCAATGTAATAAAAAAGCGAACAAAATTTTTGCTGCCATCTATAGCGGGCCGAGTGCGGCTCAGGGCTTCAAGGTCAAAATAATTATTTATTAAATAAAAAGTCGTGTCGGCGGCACGACTCGAACCGGCTACCTTCGTGTTGCTAGACGAGAGCCTTATCCCCTACACCACCAGATATCTTGACGAGAATTATATCTTTATGGTAATAAATTATGAATTCAGCCTGCTACAACCTAAGGCTACAACGGATATGTAAAATTTATCCTAGAGGCTGCTTATACTTTGAAAATTCATCTCGTTGCAGTTCATCACAGTTGTATAATTCAAGAAGCACTAAGAAATATGGCTACCTTTGAATAATATAATATGAAAAAGTTGGAGTCGGAATACAATAAAAAGCACGAGAAATACATTTTGTATTAAGAACAAAATAAAGGCAGCTTAAATATAGTTTGAAGCATAAATAAAGGAGTATTTGAAGTACTGTGTGGACGGAAGAGGGAAATCAATCGCAAAATTTATAAAATGAATTTAAAGACCGAGCCAATCGTAACGTTTGAAGCAACCATACATACACGAAGAACTGTTCTGCAACCATATATACACGACTTAATTTAGCACCATCTATAGTGGGCCGAATCGTCAATTTGTAATTTAATGCTCCATAAGAGTGACTGGGCCCTGGTGATTACCACAGCCACTGTGACTTAAAGAGAAGGCTATCTATTTCAAAAATTAAATTGTTCAAATGATGTATAATAATGGCGGTAGCTGTCATGGAATTGAGCAATTAAAAAATTATCTCAAATCATTTTTTTCAAATGGAAACCCACTTTTTTTTATTTCACTAGTGAACAGGTTTTACAATTCGTTTTTTTCTAATGTTCCTATACTTAAAATAAATCGTTTTTAAGTTATTTAAGATTTAATTTGAAAACGTAATTTTTCTTCATTTTATCTAGCTTCATTTGACATTAAGTGTCAAACGGTCAGACATTTATTTCCATCTGTCAGAAAACGAATTATTTAAATTTCTTATATTGTAAATACTGCCTGCTTAAGATTTTAAAGAGTGTATTTATAAAACTATATCTCGTATTTTCGCTCTCTAGTGATATCTAATAGTTGATATTATAAATAATATTCCGTATAATCGAAAAAAACCACCGCAAAGTTGGTTCGGAAATGATGCTGCTTTTTGAACAAGGCGTTACAATATGACATGGCCAGATCTATCGTTTTACATCACTTGACGTTTAAAGTCATAGGCTACTGGTTAAAATCATGAAAAATATACGCTTTAATACTAAATCTTAAATAACTTAAAAACGATTTATTTTAGGTATAGGAACATGCATAGTCAAAAAGTAACTAATTGAAAAGTGGGTTTCCATTTGAAAAAAAAATGATTTATGATAATTTTTTAATCCCTCAATTCTATGACAGCTGCGGCCATTATTATATGACATTCGAACAGTTTAATTTTTGAAATAGATAGCCACAGTTTTCTCTTTATGGCACAGTGGCTGTGGTAATCATTACATTTGACGTTTAGGCTATACACATATTTTTGACAGGTAGTTTTTTTCGTTCAAAAATTTTAATTAGTTTTTTTTTTCTAAAAAACGGTGAATGTTAGATATAGAGTGTTTATATAAAAATTCATAAAATTTTACAGATAATTTAAGTATGTAATAAAAAATGGGGACACCTTTTAAAATAAGAAAGTTACTGTCAACTTCCTGTATTTCCGGAGGTGCCGTCATATTGAAAGTATTTTTAATCGATAGATCTCGTTGTGACACTATGATGTACAAAAGTCTCCGAGCTAGATGTTGTAGTTCTCTAGAAACTTCTAATGCACGCTCAGCCTGGGACACCCTGTATACTAGCTTTTGTCAAAGTCCTGAGACTATATGATGAGTTATATATCTAGTTCTAATAAATATAAAAAAAATAGGAATTGGTGTTGATCTGTTTACTTTGTAAGCGTTGCTTAGATATTCAATCATAATTGCAAAACTTGAAGCTGTTACTAAATAGTCATCACTCCAAATTTTGACGGCTTTGAGACCAGCACTCGAAGAGTAAAGGACATAGTAGGAGAACGATGTCCAGAAATAGCAATGGTAAAGCTTGTCCCAAATTGTGTCTCCATCCGTAGGCCATATTCCCAAAAATATGAGGCATTTTCTCGAGAATTTCAAATGAAAATGATCATTCAACACTAAAAGAAAAAATATTATCTTTTTCTGCGTAGCGTTATATTTTGCTATCGCCAACCATAACCATCAGTTTTTGGCATTTTTTTGCTCATAGTTACTTTTATAGAATTCATAGAACGGGTTCACTGATATGTCTGTTTCAAACAAAGTGCATCTTTATATTTAAACAGTGCCTTCTATTATAAGATCAGCCTACGGGCGGACTTTTGTTTACTTCATCAGCTGTACATACTTAGATATTGGGTTAGATTCCGTTTCATATTTTGTCGGTTGATTTTTGGTTTTAACTCTTTGATTTTTGGTATTATTTATTATTGTAGTGCAAAAAACTAATTATTTTGGTGTTGAAGTGACATATACTACTACCAGATATATGGTCAATCTCGGTTTCGCATAAAAAATAAGAAATTTAAAAATTACACGTTGTGCAAGTGATTTAACCTAAAGTGCCCATACATTTTTTACTTATCGTGATTTTTGTGTGTGTTTTTTTAAGAACTCTACACAATTTTCATCCATAAAGCTTAAGTGGAGTGTGTTATTGGTGCTATGCCTCATCTTTGTTGTGTTCCTGGTGGAAAGGATAGTTACTAAGGATAGTTATTATACTAGGCAGCCTAAAGTGTCCGGAAAAGCAAGAAAAGTGGGTACGAGTAATAAATCAAGAGAATTTTATTGAAAAAATATCTTTAAATAAATTTAAAAATAATATTCTCCATGATGGTATTAATGAAAACTGGACAATTATGTTTATTTTATTCATATTGTGGAATCCCCACTCCCAATTGTTGCTGGTTCAGCTTCCGGAATAGAAAGTTTCAAAACACGTAAGTAGGGTATTATGAAATCTAGGGGAAAAATAAAAGAATATGTGTATTAGAGATCATGAAAAAGATTATTATTTTGAGTTCAAAATTTAAAAAAGATTTTTGTAAAGACAAGACTGATACAGTTTTAAAAGAAGAATGTGTTTTTGGTTTGATAATATATAAATGTATGTTAAGCATAACATATATTTGTTCAGTAATTTTTAATGATAGTATTGATTAATTTATAATACTAAAATTTAATATCAAATATTTAAATGTTTTTTTTTTTTTTTTTTTTTAAAATAACAATAAAATTGGTATATTTGCATAATACAAAATTAAGTTTTAAAGAATAAAGGTGTTACTAAAAATACTTAAGAAATTCATTTTTTTGTTTTAATTGTCTAATGTTATTTACATTTACGTAAGAATTATACTGTATCATAGAAAAAAAAAAAAATCGGCGTCTAGTTGGCTTGGAATGAACATCGTTATGACATTCCCTAAATAATTACACATAAAATAATTAACATAGAATTTTACAATCTTTGGAAAATTTGATATTCTTTAAGCCTTGAATTCTAAAATATTCTAAAATTTTTTGATTTTCTTGGAATTTAGGTTTCGGGAAAAAAGCTGATTGATTTTTCATTTGGTTTTTCATTATTTTTATTATGTTTAAAAAAAGAACGGTTCGGCTAACATTATATCCTCCATCAGTGTTGTGTCATAAGAAATAAATAGTGGTCGAATATAATCCAAAAATTGCAATTATAAAATATTCACACCACGCGCATAATGTTTACTGCGTACTCCATAGTCCAATGTAGATAATTTTTATTTGTTTTAAGAAATAATAATTTTAAAAAAAATATGTGGCCATCTTTTGATAAGTTTAATATTAGTTTAATTAATTGCAGTTAAACATTATGAGGTGTGAATTATATTGTTTATATGTAATTTTTTTTGGATTATATTCGACACTATTTTCCTCATATGACACAACACTGTGAAGGCTATGGTTAGCCGAAACGTTTTTTTAAAACCAAATAAAAATAATGAAAACCAAAATGAAAAAACTTAATCAGCGTTTTTCCCGAACCTTAAAAAATCCAAGAAAATCAAAAATTTTAGAATAATTTAAACATATAAAATGCCAGCTAATCTTCAATTTCATAGCCATCGCTGACGTTTTTTTTTTTTGTTTTTAGAATAATATTGTTATTAATTTGTAAATATAATTTTCGAAACATTGATACTTTTGCAAAATATACATATAATTTTGTGAATGCAAATAATAATACATCACTATTAGTAGATATTCAAATGTTTTTTTGTTTAATTTTAGATCGATTTTCAACCCCAAAATTTAAAAATATATTTACATTTTACCCATTATCTTATGTACCTATACATTATTTGTACATTGTAAAAAATTTGCTGCATTTGTATGGTCCATAGTTTATTTGCCAAAGTATTTATTACTATAATAGGTATTATATGTTGTTATTAATTAACTGTATATTATGTATAATTTTCATTTAACTATATCATTTTAAAATACAAAACCAAAAATCTGAGGAATAATTATGTTTTCCATGTATCTACAGCATATTTATTAATCCGTTATATCTAACTAGCGTGACGTCATAAATCTCGCCCGTAGGCTGATCTTATAATAGAAGGCACTGATTTAAAGTAAGGAAGGCTGTAACGTGCCAAAATTTCACTAAACTATTTTATTTCTTTTCTTTAATAATTTAAAGCTAATTGATATTATTATTAGTCTGAAATATCGATCAGTTCAATTCAGTAAACCAAGAATAAATAAATCGTACTTACATGTTAACAAAAGTAATTATTTCATCCTTATTTTTAACTAAAATATTTTTTTTTTTTTTTTTTTTTTTTTTTTTTTTTTTTTTTTTTTTTTTTATTTAATACAATTTAAATATTTTATTTTAGCCGAAATAGATAAAATAATTCTTTCCGCCGTTAATTCTGTTTATATACTAAATACGTAGGTTAGAAAAATTTTTGAATTGAACTGTCAAATATTTAAAAATTTATTATTTTTATTAAGTATTTTTTTTTTTTTTTTTTTTTTAAATAACTTTAAATAAATTGATTATATATTTTTTGTATTTTATTTAATCAACAGTAATTATTGAGCCTATTGTTACTTAGTTAAACTCATTAAATTTATGTTGCTCTATTTTAAATTTTTAGGTAGAATTTTCTAAGCATAATTGTCTTAAAAATATCGTATCGATCCGGCAAGTGAGTCATGCGAAATATCTCTAGATTGTTGTTATTTATTAATTTTTGAATGTTTTGATAAGCAAATTTTCTATATAACTTTCATTAATCTCGTTAACTTTAATTTAATTCTAATTAATATATAATTATTGATATTAACTTTATTTTCCTTTAATATATAAACTTTTTCTTCATGGTCTTTATTCAGCCTTGCAAGGTTGGCAATCCATATTTTTTCAAGGGCTCGTGTTTTTTTATTCTGGCTATTTTCTTTGGTTGCAAAAAAAAGGTTTTCGTTTTTTCTTGGAACTACCTTGGTTTGGTCACTTTATGTTCAGCTAGTGTGAGGTACAGAGGCCTCTCGGTCATTTTTGTCAAGTTTTTTGATTTTTACCCTTGTGGGGATTTTCGAGTGTGCCTCAAAAATTACTGCAGCATCCTATCTTACCTTTTGTTTTTTTTGGACGGTGCTACGGTTTACCGGTGACGGGATTTTCACATCAAAAAGCTGACGTGGGTCAACCGAGCAGCCCGCCTTTTTTTATTGAGCACCCCATTTCATCCAGGGGAAGAAATAATATAAATCACCTGAGGATTCGTAGAAAACCCTGAGTTAGCAGGGTTTTTTTTTTGTCGGAGCCGAAGAGTTTTTGTCTGGAACGAAGAAGTTTTTTGTCTGGGCCGAAGAAGTTTTTTTTCTGTGTTGAAGACTTCTCTCTGAGCCAGTTTTTTTGTTGGAGCAGTTTTTTTTCGCCGTATCCATTTTACTTTTCTGGAGGAGTTGACAGTCGACGGTTAACAGTTGACAGCCGACGGTGTCTGCCCAGGATTGATTTGATTTAGAAGATTTTCAACTATTTGGTATTGTACAAATTCAATTTTAATTTTTTCCCTATCTTACGATTTGAATTTTGATCTGGTGCGTACGAAAATACTGAACGTAGATAATTTTTTTTAACATTATAATTTAAATTAGAATAAATTTTCACATACTTAATTCTGTTGATAAAATAATATTTCATTTTTTTTTTTCCTTTAATTTTTTTTTGTAAATTTAATACAGCTGACACAGTTTCTTTTTGTCTCTATTTAAAATTTAAATCCTAATTCTTTTTTTTTTATCGATATCTAATTTCTTGAATGAATGAATTCATAATTATTAGTTGATTAATTTAGATTTATTTATTTAATAATTATATATTTAATTATTATTATTAGTGAATTGGTTTTAGTATTATTTTAAATTTGATTTATTTAATTTGTTGATTAATTTGATATTATTTTTTTTTTTTTTTTTTTTTTTTATATATACATATATATTTTATTTTGTAATATTTTTTTTTTTTTTTTTTTTATTTATAGTGATTTACTGTAATTTTGCTGACTTTGCGTATGTGAGATATTCCTTGATGGCACCAATTTTTTTATTGATTTATTTAATTAACTACTATTGGTATTTTATTTTTTAATATGATGTTTTTTTATTAATTCTCTTTTATTATAATATTTTTTTTTTTTTTTTTTTTTTCATTATTTTTTATCCTTTGGTCTTTGTCTACATAATTCTCTATGATCTGACTTTGTTATATTTACTTTTTTATTTATGTATTGGTGAAAACTTTTGGGTAAAGGTGCCCTAAATACACCTTGGGGATTTCTGACTTTTCCGTCTAAAGTCAGTGGCGCTCTTAACCCGCCCCTACTCTTCGAATTTTCTGAGCTAGGGCGTAAATTTGTTCGCGACTAGACCCGCAAACATAAATATTTTATTCTTAATCGCAACTTAATAAATTTTTTCTTCTTCGTATTTTAATTCTTTTCTAATTTTTTTTTTCTTTTTTTTTAATAAAGAGCCGAGCTAAGGCCAAAACGCGTGACATAACTTTCATGGCGGCCCAACGTGGGGCAATTGATTTAAATAGGGCAATTGCATTAAAAGGTGCAATTCTTATTTTATCATTTTATTATTATTTATCTTTTTTTTTTTTTTTTTTAACATATTAATTATATCATTCTTGCTGTTAATATTTATTCTCATATTTTTTCTTTAATATTTAATCTATTGTACTCCTGATTATTATTTTGATACTGATTATTTTCATTTGGATTTATCTTTGTATTTACCTTTTGATTACCTTTGTATTTATTTTACTTAACCTTTTGATTGTTATACGTTTTGGGTATATGTTGTTTGCCTTTTTCTATTTATCTTTTTCTATTTTCCTATTTAAGCTTGTTTTTTACCTGGCGGATTGCATTACTAACTTACCTGTGATTTCGATATAGATATTTTTAATTTGATATTTACCTTACTTTTCTTGCTTTATTTTTTGTTGACAAGTATTATTTTGCCATTTCACACCTTAAAATAAGACCCACCTTGGTTTACTTTTGGACTGAACTTTTATATAATTTAACTGATAATAATAAATACTTCGGTATTTTTAGCTTTATATTAACATCATTATTATTTATTTTTAAAATTTTACATTTAATAATTAAATTTGTACTTTATTGAAATTTTTTGGCATTATGGATTTCAAAATGAATATATGTTATCTCAAAAAGGAAAAGTTACTTCGTGAGCTTAGGGTTTGTGGTGTGTCTGTTGATGATCAAAGTACTGTCGATAAATTGAGAACTACCTTGCGACCTTTATTAAAAATGGAAAAGGCCGGAGCTTTCAAATCTTCTCCCTATAACCTAGAGTTTGATGATGAAAAGATAATTATTCGTACGCTATTAGACGAGGTTAATGAGTCCATTAGTACAGTATCATCGGAAGAGAACGTCAAAAACAAATTTCTGTCCATTCAGTCTAGACTAGTCCATCTGCTTAACCGTGTAAATAGAATACCTGACCAAGTTTTGAACGTCAACCAGCAATATGAGAAGACCGAACTTTTGATTGATGTTTTAGCAGCAATCGATACTTTAGAATCAACGTCTCGACAAGAACCTCAGTTGAGCAATCACTTTCGAGATCCTGATGATGATATACCATTACATTCCTCACATGTACATAATTCTACTAGTCAATCTGTTCCTTTTGTAAATAGCGTCTCCCCTTCGAAATATCTAAGCCTTGAGAAATGGAATTTAAAATTTACCGGCGACATTAAAAAACTATCAGTCCACAATTTCCTAGAAAGAGTGAATGAGTTGCGCTTGGCTCGTAATATACTGAAAACAAATATTTGATTCGGGGGGGGCCCATGCGATTTGTTTACCGGAAAAGCTTAAATTGGTTTAGGGCAAATAATAATAGGTTTCAAGATTTGCAGGGTTTAAGCCACCTATTGCGCAGTCATTTTGAGCCAACTGACTATCGTGCTAGACTCTTTAAAGAAATTTTAAGAAAAACACAGGATACCTCCGAGACTATAATTGACTATCTTTCATGTATGCAGGCATTGTTTAGACGCTATGATGGTTTATCCCCAGATACTCAACTGTATATTTTGGTGGTGAATTTATCTCCATTTTATACCACGCAACTTCCTGTTGTAAATACAATTGAAGAGCTTGAGAGAGAATGTCTTAAGCTAGAGGTGAAGAAGTATCGTGCCGAAAGCTACGTACCTCCGTCTAAGAAGAAGCAACAATTTGTCGAACCGGACTTTGCTTTTGTAGGAGTGCAGAATTCACAGCCTTCTACTTCTTATAAATTTTTATTGATGAAGAGAAACCAAGTCAGTGAAATCTCTCGAGGCCTACAGAATAATTCTCATAATTCGTCTAGGGAAATTACTTGTTGGAATTGCCAGAAGACAGGCCACATAAATCGTAATTGTCCTAATCCCAGAAAAATGCATTGCTATCTTTGTGGTACACCAGATGTGATAACTAGAACCTGTCCAAGGTGTTCCAGTTCGGAAAACGGCCCTCGGGGAAATCGTTAGGTCGTGCTATTTCCTCTCAATCCACACTATTAACGGCCCATGCAAATAACACCCAAGATTTTCAAAATAAAATTCTCCTTGACTATATTGTTTCCCATGCGCAAGGCGATCAACGTCCTTACCTTCAAATTAGTATTTTAGGCTATTCACTTTTGGGTTTACTCGATTCCGGTGCGAGTCGTACATTAGTTGGCTTTCCTGGTTACGAAATTCTGTTGAGTCTGGGACTGAAATTCATTAAGCAAGAAAGTTCATGTACAGTTGCGAATGGTGAAGTATGCACTAGTATAGGTTATATTCAAACACCAATAACATTAATGAATAAAACCTAAAATTAATTGAATATTTTGGAATACTTCCTGGATTATCTCACAAAATTATTCTTGGCATAGACTTTTGGAAATCGATGGAAATTGTACCTGATCTCAGGCAAGACGTTTGGCATTTTTCTGAGAACACTGAACTTGCTCAGATTTGTGGAGTGCAGAGTAAAGACCTTTTAACGCCTGTAGAGAAAACAGCTTTGAATAAATTGGTGGAAGAGAAATTATCCCAGATGGGATCTACTCTTGGTTGTTGTAGAGTTGCTGAACATGAGATAGTTCTTGAACCAGGAACCAGGCCAATAAAACAGCGATATTATCCAGTGTCTCCATACAAACAAAAATTTATTGACGACGAGGTCGAA